TACATTATACATGTGCAATTATATAAAACGTTTCCATATTAGTCATTTTGTGGAAGAAAACTCAAACTAAAAAAAGAGAAAGTGAAAAACAGTATGCTTTGGTCTGTATTCAGACATCATCAGTTCTTTCTCTGGAGGACAGCATTTTTCATCCTGAGTACTTTCCAATTGCCTAGGATCATTGTAGTGCTGAGAATGGCTTAGTCACTCACAGTTGTTTATCGTACAATATTGCTGTTACTGTGTACAATGTTCTCCTGGTTCGGCTCACTTCACTCTTTATCAATTCACGTAAGTCTTCCCAGGTTTTTATGAAATCATCCTGCTTGTCATTTCTTATAGCACAATGATATTCCATTACAATCACATACCACAACTTGTTCAGCCCTTCCCCAATTGATAGGTATCCCCTTAATTTCTAATTCTTTGCCACTACAAAAAGAGCTGCTATAAATATTTTTGTACAAATAATAGGTTCTCAACACACACCCCTTCCCCCCCTTTTTAAAAATGTCTTTGGGATACAGACCTACTAGTGATATTCCTGGGTCAAAGGGTATGCACATTTTATAGCCCTTTGGCACAGTTCCAAATTACTCTGCAGAATGGTTGGATCAGTTCACAACTCCACCAACAGTACATTAGTATTGGACATAGAATTTGAGAAGTCTAAGAAGCGGCTGGTAATGTGAGATTGGAGCTCAGGAAAGAGTTTAGGGCTAGATAGATAATATATAGACTCATCAGTTATCTATGTAACAATAATAATTACAGTTAGGAGCTGATAAAATCAAGTGAGAAAGCAAAGAAGAGGTCGTAGTACAGTCCTTTAGTGGGTATGACCTAAGTGGAGACCCAGCAAAGGAGACTGAGAAGCAGGAGTTAAGCCAGAGAGCACTAAGTTGGTGAAGAACCAGGAGAGCCTGGGATCATGAAAACTGAAAGACTGAAGAGAGGCTAAGAAATGCTGAGAAAAGGCCATTAAAAGATCCTTGGTGGCTTGGGAAAAATCAGTTTCAGTTGAATGATGAGGCAAGAACCAATTTGCAGAGTCTTTAGAATTGAGAGAGAAGAGAAATAGAGGCACCTATTGTAAACAGTTTTTCAAGGCATTTAGTGAAGAAAGGAAGAAGAAAATTAGGATAATAGCGGGTATAATTCAATCAAGTGAGGGTTTTTAAGGATGGAGGAAACATGAGTGTGTTTGTAGGAAGCAGGGAAGGAGTAGATAAGGAGAGATTGAAAATTAACAAAAATAGAATAATACAGAGGGCCCTCAGCTGGAGGAGGCAGGATGGGACAGGATCAAGTGTGAATGAAGAGGGGATTGCTTCAGCCAGAACTCCATGTGAGACACGATGAAAGAGGAGATGGTAGGGAAGGTATCTGAGTAATGTGAAACAAAGAAAAGGATTAAAGAGGGAGTCTTGGTAAATGACTTTCATTTTTTCTTGTTAGGAATGGGTTAAGGACCTCAGGTGAGAGAGTGAGGAGTGGGTTGGATTTAAGGCTTGAGTTTATTAAGGATATTTTGGAATAGCCATTGTGGTGAGTCAGAAAGTGAACTGACTCATTAATAAACATTTATTAAGTACCTTGTTTGTGCTGGGCACCCTGCGGAGCTCTAGGGACACAAATAAGAAAGAGAAAGACAGTCCCTGCCCTTAAGGAGTTTACAATCTAATGGAGGAACAAAATTAACAAAAGAAAACTCAAAAAAAGTGGTGGAAGAGAGGCTAACAAAAGAGTAGCTGTGATGGGGTGATAGGAACTGGACCCCTAAAAGGAAAAGACCATATCTTTGAAAGCAATCAGTCCCATACATTTCAGCAGCCCAGATCACTGGCGCCTCTGCCTCCCTCAAGGGGCTGGCCCACCCCAGCCCACCTAGATCACCTAATTAGCCTCCTTGATACTCTTTTCACCTTCATACTTGCCCTCCCCTGCCCCACCCCCCACACTACTTACATACTTAACATACAGGATTGCCCTTAACTTCAACTAGATCATCTAATTAGCCTAATTGATATTCCTTTCACTGTTTTACTTGTCCCCCCCACCCCAGATTACCTACCACTCCTTAATCCCACCCAGATCCTTTCTCACAGTCCCATTTTATATAAGTATCAGCACCATCCTCATCAATTTGCAGGTTCATTAGAAACCCTGCCCAATTCTATTGGCCTTACAAGAGAATTTGGCCCTTGACTGGAACTATGGTTTGAGTGCATGAATTCATTCCAGGAAGATGTCACCTGTACCCTAACATTTTGGGGTTCCCAGCAACCCCAAACCACATCAGCTGGTGTCAGGGGCCATGATGTTCATGGATTCCCACCCAAGCAAAGTAGTAGCTGATATTAAATAAGGCTAGCTGGGAAAATGAGTCCTAGGTAAAAGGAGGCCTTGGGAGAAGTTCATTGCTCCACCCTCTAGCCCCTCCAGTAGAAGGGTGTGATTGGTAGCTGAGGGTGTTGAGAAGGCCAAAATCAAAGCCAAATGATCTCCAACACTGTAAGATTTCTAGTGAGGAGCTAATCTTGGGAGAGGAATGATTAGGGAGATGCAAAAGGATTGCCATACAAGAGATTATGCAACATACATTTAGAGTAGATCCATCAACACAGTTTTGTGATTTCTTCCAATACCATTCAACAGCATGAGAAGTTTGAAGGACTGACAGCAGCAGATGATGGAAGTAATTCAAGTCTGGAGTTGCATAAAATATGATGAGCAGTAGGACAAGGAAGGAAGGGACTCAAGTGTAGCAGTATGGCGTTGAACTGATTCACCAAGAGTTTAAGACTATAAGGAAGGAAGAAAAATGTAGCCAGTACAGGGATTACGGCCTGGGAAAGAACTGAGGTGTAAAGATACCCATGATAAGGACAAAGAACAGGGTAAAGGGTGGTAAAGCAGAGGGAAAACAGAATGATAAAAGATTATGATCAAACAGAAGAATTTTGGAGTTAACAAACATGGAAGTAAAGTCTAAGAAATATCAGCAGCACCTGAGTTCCCTCTTTCAGTCTATGATTTACGAGCCCCCTTCCACTGAATGTCCTCTGATAGATTCAGAATAAATTACAAGATACCATAGTAAAGTAAATTTACTTAAAGTGGAATGTAAAGTAAATAAAAAGGAGTTACATTAAGCAGCAAGCACTCCTCCCAGGCATTTCCCAAAGCTACCACCTCCCTACACTCTCCTTCTGTTCTCAACTCCTAAAAAGATACTCAAGAGCTTCGTCCCCTCCACAATACAGCAAGAGTAAGTCACTTTTCATGAGAGGGTGTTTCAGTACTGAATGGGCTGGCTTTCTCAGCATAACACTGTAGGCTAAGACGGGGTGGCACAAAGGAATCTGAGGTGTGTCACAGAGATTTTGGTTCTCAGTGTGGCTACCAGGAGAAAGGACATCAGAGCCAGTTCTGTTTCATTTTTCTTTCCCGAGTTCTCTCTGGCTCTGCTTGCCCAGACTTGAACCCACACCTCATCATTAAATTTGAAATTCTGATATCTCATTTCCCTTTCAAGTTAGTACCTTACTGAGATTATCTCCAATTTACCCTGTATAAAATCCAAATCCTGTTTGTACATAACTGTTTGCCTACTGTGTCTACCTCTCCTCCCTCTTAGAATGTGAACTCCTTGAGAATTTACCTCTTGACTTTCTTTGTATTGGAAGAGCTTAGCACCAATTCTGAGTACATAGTAGATACCTATAAATGCCAGTTGACTGGCTGACCTCAAACTAGGTGTTCTAGAAGCTGCTAAACTCTCCACAGGAGACAGCTGAATACATAATGGATAGAGCATGAAGCTTGCAGTCAGGAACACCTGAGTTCAAATTCAGTTTCAGACACATTTTTAGCTTTGTAACTGAGAGAAATGTATTAATTAACCAACTATTGAGGAGATCTAGGGATTTTCCCTTTTTCCTCAAAGTCCAGTCTTTCAAGATCTCTGACCATTCCCAAAACTTTACTCCACTTAGACCTGTGCTTCTTAAGCTTTTTCCACTCGCAGCCCCTTTTCACCTGAGAAATTTTTAGGCAACCCCAGTTTATTTAGGTATATAAAATAAGTATGCAGATCAAACATTCACTGATAATAAATCATAAAGAAATTTATTTTAAAACAATCTTTAGCATATATGTATATATAATTTTACCATTTATTAAAGACAAGAACAAATTTGCATACTAATGAGATGGATGTGCCTTTTTTATATAAAGAATTGAATCTTGGCAGAATATTTGATACTGCAGGATTTAGAGCATCTTCAACATTTTTTTCAGAGTTTGATCAATATTTTAATTTTACAATCATCAATGCTGAGAACGCCGCTTTGCATAAATACATAGCACAAAACGACAGAAGTATGTTTAGGGCCATTTCAGAAATTGTTGGAAATTCTGTCCTAATCCCAAGCCAAAATTCATTTAACAATTTTTTAGGAAACTCAAGTTTCAAACCTGTGTCACTTGATAACTCGGCAAATTCTTCTTGAATTTTTAATAGCAGATGACTGACGTTTTTATTTCAATTACATATAGTTGATGAACTCAACCCTTTCGTGAAAATGGCTAAAAAAAATTAACATAAAAAAGATTCACTGGCCCCTCAGTTTTTCAACATCCCAAGAGTTAACCAAACAAGTAGCTGTATCTTTCTCTCCCTAATTACAATTATCCAGTTCTACTGAGCATTAACAGAACCAACAAACTCCCTTGGGAAATCTCCCTAGGCACAGCTGAGAGTCAGCTTTATTTCAGCATAAGATTAATTTTCTTTGAGAAATTTCACTTTAAATCTCCCTAGACACAGCTAATAGTCAGTTTTATTTCAGCATAAGATTAATTTTCTTTGAGAAATTTCACTTTGAGACAGTGACAGCTTTCATCAGTTTATCATGCTCAGAATTCAAGGGAAAGGAGGGTTAAGTAGTACCTATCTGTCTTTGTATTGAGACAGATATTTTCATGAATTACTCTACCTCTATCTGACGAAGTGACATGGGGTTGGCAGGGCCAGAATTCCTGAAACAGAAGTTGAAGCACCATTATGTACTAATCCTTGGCTTATGTCAAGAGAGAGCCTAGCCTCTAAAGTTCACTTCCCCTCTTTATTAGACTGTTTAATCTTTCCTCCCTCATTCCTACAAAGCCCATGAATAAGTGAGATGTTGGATAACATGACTTGCCCTCCAACACAGAGCAAACTAATAATTCTTTCCATAAACATCTCTGACAAGTGATCTTCCATTTTTATGCTTCTGATGAGGAGACATCCTCTACCTCCTGAAGGGTATCATTCCATTTAGGATAGCTCTGTTAGGAAATGTTTTCCATAGGGACCCTAATTCATCAACTTTGAAGTTCCTACCCTACCGAGTCAGGATCATTGTACCACCCACCCAAAATAACTGTCTGTATACTTGTTTTACCTTCTTTGCTGTAATAAACTTTGAAAGGCATTTTCTAATTGTGCTTAGCCTTCTTTTCCAAACTTAGCTTCTTTTAAGAAAAAGGAATTAATAAATAAAACCCTAAAGGGAAAGAGGCTTAAAAAAAAAAGAGAGATCTGGGGTAGAAGACGTAGTCTTAACAAAAGGCAATTACAAAAGATAAAATAGATTACTTTGATTACTTAAAACCAAAAAGCTTCTGCACAACTACATCAATACATCTAAGATAAGAAGGGAAGTGGTACCCTTTCCAGCCTCTCCCGGAGAGGTGCCCCAGGCTGGGCATGTGTTGTGCCCCCGCTGTCGGACTCTGCGGAGCCAGAGCAGCAAGGCAGCGGGGCCAGAGCTCACCCTGGTCCAGCAGCCACCCCCACCCTTACCCCCCTACCAATGAAGAACCCCTAACTCTGAGAGAGACAGAGGACGGAGGCTGCAGCCACCAGGAAGCTGGCCTGCCTCACATTATGGGATGTGAGTGAAACCTGGCCCAAGAATCAGAATTCCGTTATTGCCTTGCTCATTTTACAGATGAAGAAACTAAGAAAAAAGAGAGTGAAATGACTTACCCAGGATCACATACCTACTCATGTATAATGCTGCCTTAAGAAAAGAATCATGTGGGACAGCTAGGTGTCGCAGTAGATAGGTGTCGCAGTAGATAGAGCACCGGCCCTGAAGTCAGGAGGACCTGAGTTCATATCAGGCCTCAAACCAAACACTTGACACTTACTAACTGTGTAACCCTGGGCAAGTCACTTAACCCCAATCGCCTGAAAAAAAAAAAGAATCATGGATAAATACTGTAAACTCTAAAAGATTGAGGAAGGATCCTTTGGAAAAGCCATTCTTGTTAAATCTAGGGAATATTATAAACAATATTATTAAGGAAATTAACGTCTCAAGGATGTCCAGTAAAGAAAGAAAAAAATCAAGGAAAGAAGTTGAAGTGTTGGCAAACATAAAGCATCCAAATATTCTTCTATATAGGGAATCATTTGAAGGTCAGATAAAATTTGCCAAAGAGTATACACTCATCAACTAAAGGATGGTCTCTGTATAATTTAGTTGCCACTATAGCTTCCGTACTCTGAGGGAATAATGCATATCATTGCAATGCCAGTATTACATGGAGCCTGGTGGCCTGGGTGATTCTTTGATACCATCTATATCCATGCTGGCTGAGGACTGTGTTGGTAGGATAGGTGTGATAGGAAGGAACCTATCCTGCTGATGAAAATAAAATATTCACTTAAATTGTTCTTAACCTTTTAAGTCTTGCTAAGCATCACCTCTGAGAGAAAGCTCTGAGCCTCTGAAAAAAAAGTTGATAGACCTATCCACTCATTGGTATCCTTATATCTGAAATCATAAGATTTAAATACATCAAGTATCTTCTTCATGGGATTTAAAATGCTGTGGAGAAAGCATTAGAAAAATTTAGGCCAGAGATTGTGTAATCTCTTCTGTGCATATCTTAAATAAGAGGCTAGATAACCCTGTATTAATAAGAGATTTTAGAAACACTTGAAGACAGTAAACACCACATAGGATAGAAAAAACAAGTAAGCAGAAAAAGCAGTTGATGTCAAAAGAATATTAAAGAGCCAGGAACGCCCAACAAACGAACCCAGAAGAAGAGAATAATTCCATGTACATCCACCCACTCCTCTGAAGCTGCTGTTATCAGGGAGGGAGAGAAAGAAGAAAAAAAAATGGCATTCCAGAGCCCTGGCTGCAAAGGGTTTCAGATTACACACGGACACACACCACACAAACACAGAACAGATAACATGATAATGACAGGGATACTCCAAAACAGACAATTTTTTGTGATTCTCCAGATCTTATGGAGACCATGCAAAAAATTTTTCTTAAGGTTTTGGAGAATGAGCTTTCTCCAATTGTATAAAAGACAACCTAGCGGGAGATCGGCCCATCCTCTTTGCCTATAAGCCTTAAAAAAAAAAAAAAAAAAAGAAGGACTTGCTCCTGTAGTTTACTTGCCTCGACCAGCGTCCTGGTGAGGGAGGAAAAACCCCGCAGAAGTTCCCAACAAGGTGTCCCTTGTCAAGAGGGAAATCCGCTACAGCCTGTTGCAGGCTCAACCCAGCCCCAGCAAGCCTTCCTAGGTGTTTGAGGGACGACCCAACTACAGGGCGAGAGGAGGGGGGAGGCTTACCTTGAATCGAAGACTTGAGACTTCAGACTAGCCCCACGTTGGGGGCCATAAATGTTGCGGGCTGAGAGGTTGAAACCCCTCAAAGACCGAGTACAGGACAGGTCGTCTGGAATGAATTCACAGACTCAAGCATTCTTTAATTCAAGGTGGCAAAGATTTATTGTTGCGCTTTTCAGTGGGCAAGGATTCTTAAAGGATCCTGCAACCTTAGAGAGGTACAGGTAAAGTTTACATAGGATAAAATGCAATAAAACATATGTCAAATATGCTAACTAGGGGATTCAGGGTGGGATTAGGGAGTGGTGAAGGAGTGGTCAGTTCTCAACTGAAACTCAAGATAAGAAAAGTCCCATTATTCAAGAGAGTATCTGGTCCCAGACATCCTGGGCCCAGTGATAACAAACAGGAAGAATACTGATCAGCTCTATCTGGTCCTGGAATTTGCTGACACAGGAAGGGGTGTTTTTAGTTCACTCAGAGAGAAAAAGATTAATTCAGGTTTTTTGGCCCTTACTGGGGCACAATTGATCTTAAATGATTATCAAGGGACAGTGTTTCTGAGGCTAGGGAGAAATTGGGGCCCAAGTACAAGCACCCAAACCTAAGCACCCAAGCACCCCAACATTACAAAGAGAAGTGGAATGAGTGCCCAATTAGGAGAGTCCTGGTGCTGCCATTATCTAACTACAATGATCTTGGGAAATCCAACTTGTTTGGTCCTCAGATTCCTCATTTATAAATGAGGTTGGACTCAATGACCTCTAAAATCTCTGGCAGCTCTAAAATTCTATCATATGTTAGATGTTGCCTGCCTTTTTCACTTAAAACACCAATCTTCATAGGTGTCTGCAACTGCTGCTTAAGGGCAGTCATTGTTCTATTTTTATGTTTGATTCCCAGCTCAATAAAAGTTTGTTGATTGATTTGGGGGGAGGGGAAGGCTAAAGACCCAAAATGGTTTCTCCCATTCACATGGTCTTGGGAGGGTGGAGGAGAGAAGGAAGCCCTAGGTCTTAACCAACTGTGAATAAAGGAGTCACTTTTACCCTTAGAAACAAATGCCACACAAATCCCTGGCAACTGCTAAATCAGACCATTTAAAACATATTAAGTTGTTGTAGCTATATAAAGGAAAAATGCTACTCCTAATCGCATGGCCATAGGTGATCCAGCCTCCAGTCTCCCTGAAGCTATTTCCTACTGTCTTCCAAATCTTAGCAAACTAAATGTGACTGCTCAAGGGCCAAGTTCTACAATGGCCATTATAAAGTATTCCTTCCCCAGTATTATCCTCCTTTATAATTCTCTTCTCTCTCTCTGCTTGTTTCTCTGCTAAGTTTGACATATTTCCACGTGTGTTTATGTGCATGTGTATGGGTATATGTACATTCAACCCTGTTTTGTACTTTTCAGATGAATTTCATCTGATGCCCACTTCCTCCACCCCATTCTTTGTGTTTGCACACTCTTATTTCTCTCAACAGAGAGAAGGTCCTCTTTGACTTTTGGAATATAGTATTTCAAGATATTCCACCATTTATAATAGAAGCTGCCAGGTCTTTGGTGATCCTGACTTGAACTATTCCTTTCTGGATGCCTACAGTATTTTTTATTTCTTGGATGTATGAGCTCTGGATTTTGACCTTGATATTCCTAAGACTTTTTCCTTTTAAGGTTCTTTTCAGGAGGTGATCAGTGAATTCTTTCTCTCTTTACGTCACACTCTGGTTCTAGTAGACCTGGGTGATTTTAATTTATGATTTTTTAAAACCGAGTCCAGGCTTTTTAACCATGATTTTCCATGAGTCCAATGATTTTTAAATTATTGTTCCTTGAACTGTTTTCCAGATTAGTAGTTTTCAATATCTTCTGATATCTTAGCTTTTTAAAATTTTATTACAATATTTCTTTCCATCTCATAGTCATTGATTTCTAATTGGTGTTACTAATTTTCAGAGTTCTTTTCTTTTTTGAGATTATGTCTCCTCTCTCTCTCAGACTGGAAGTTCAGTGGCCACTCATGGACTGAAGCTGATATTGATCATCACAGATTTAACCCACTATTTTTCTGACCCAGGCCAGTTTACCCCTCCTTAAGCAAACTAGTTGCCCTGTACTTTCAAGACTTACCATACTGTTGCCAGATTTAATGTGGATGCCTGAATCGCCTTAGTTCAGAACTCCCGTACTCAAGAGACCCTTAGCTCCCCAGCAGCAGAGACTACACCTCACCAGCTGAGCCTATTTCTTGAGATCTACCATTTTATCTTCTAGATTACTTATTCTCCCAGTTTTTCTTCTAAAGTTTTTATCTCATTTAAAAAAATATATTGTTTCATTTCTTCTAGGGACTCATAATTCTTGTGGAAAATTTATTTTTTTCCTCTGAGTCAGCTGTAGAATTACTTGTTCCTTTTTGGGAAATCTCCACATTTGCAACAATTTTTGCTACTGATCAGTGTTTCTCTGTTTAGTTTATCTCTCCAGTTTTAGTTCCTGAAATGGGCTTTAGCTAGAACCAGTCTCCAGCCCCCGTTCAGTTTTTGGGTAAAATGGTTAGCCGTACTTGGTTTTGCTCTGGGTCCCCTGGTTTCTTGTGCTGACCTTCATTTTTTCAAGAACAGATACCTTAACATAAGGGCAGGAGTTGAGATGGAGAAGACTGAGAGTCAGGTTTTGAACTCCTTGAGATAAAAGAAAATGTCTTGGGCCTAGTAGACACCAACTAATAAGATCTGGATTAGGTGATAAATTTGAATGAAGTGAACCTCAAAGGAAAAGAGACGGCTGAGTGATGGTGGCAAAAAGTGTATCTAGAAATGGCAGTGGAGAGCAACGCACCAGCATATAGGATAGTGAGGAAGGAGAGGGTTGGTATTACAGAAATTGCATCTAGTAATAGAGGAGAGTAGCTAAGGATTCTATGTCATGTTGAGAATTTGGGTCTATATGAGTTTGAGAATCAATCAATCTCAGTAAATATTTATTAAGCACCTCTTCACCTGATCAAACTACATCTTATTATTCAAAAAAAAAATTTGGGGGGGGCAATTAGGGTTAAGTGCCTTGCCCAGGGTCACACAGCTAGTGTCAAGTGTTTGCTCCGAGGCTGGATTTGAACTCAAGTCCTCCTGACTTCAGGGCTGGCGCTCTATCCATTGTACTACCTAGCTGCCCCCAAACTACATCTTATTATAAGGTTGCTTCCCTAGATCCCTCACGATATTTCTTTCACATCCTAACCCTAGGATGTTGGGGATCTCAGAAGAGGTAGTGACAGCAACATAAGGTGACCCATCAGGAAAAACAGGATGTCAGGCACTGTGCTAAGAGCTAGAGATACAAAAAAAGGCAAAAGACTGTCTCTACCTTCAAAAAGTTTATAATCTAATGAAATACGCTAACAAATATATATGAAACAAGCTACACATAAGTAAGAAAGGAGCCTGAAATAAAGACCCCTAAAATAAAAGTAAGTTTGTTAGCTA